ATGGTATGGGGCAGAATAACAGTACCACTACAAGAATTGAGGGAATGATGTTTTTCCATAGTGATAGGAATAGTATCGATATGTGAAAGAAGAGAAAGATCATGAGCTTGGGTAGAATTCTGGACTGTGATGATGCGCGTACCACTCTTAAGAGCATGAAAGGAAATATCTCTACCAACGTGGCGTAGGAGCGCTTTGCCAATACTATGGTCGGAAAGATAAGCAGTAGAAGAAGTCGGTCTTAATGTAAAGAATTTAGTCCACTGTGTGATCCGAAACTAAGTGTGGAGAGGGAGTGCATGATGTGTCGGTCTTTTCCGAGTAGAATGGAAAGGTAACGAAGTAACATCATCAGGAGATTGTCGTTGACATTTAGAAGTGGGACCAAAGTCGGTCCGATGTGGGATGGGCTGGCGATCCGAAAATCACCACACCGTAGAGGGAGAAGCCGGAAGCATAGTCAAAGGAGTGCAGAGGTCAGACAAATCGAAGGAGTCAGTGGAAGCCCCGGTACCTGAAGCGGGTGAGGAAACAGCACCAGCAAGAGGTACAGGGACCTTAGGAGTGTCCAAAGAGTGGCCAAAAGACGAGGCGAGGTCAGAACAGGGTGCGGTAACAATAAGGGGCCCGGGGGTAGCGGGGTCATGGATTTGGGACTCCATGGTTAGGTTAATTCTTTCTTTTTGTTTTTAAGAAAAAAAAGGAAAGAAGAAAATAAAATAAAAATAAAAAAGAATAAAAAAAGGGGGGACCAGGGAGGGATAGTTCCTAGGAGGAATGAAAGGGCCAGAAATCTCCCTCCACGCCCAAGAGGACTTCAGCACGGCAAGTAGCGCAGATGCAGCATGGAACCCGTGCCATACCCTACCCTTCATGCCAGTCAACCAGCAATCCGGGATAGCAACCTCACATCTGCCGAGCTACCTCGGTGGACAAGAGAGGGCGGCCAGATATCCGCCACAAGCATACCTCCTTCGGCCACCACCCCCGGAATCCAAAAGGTGGCTTCCAGAGATACACCCGTCACCCGAAAGACACCCAAAGCCACCCTCCGGGATACCGGAGAGGGATCGGGATATCCCCAGGCGATCCAGATCCCATGGCAAACTACGCCACCGCCAAGAACCTCAACGGAATGGGATGGACCCCGGTACCCTTCCCCCTACCTATGAACTAGTGTGCCTGTGGGAAAAATCCCAAAGGCCAAAAAGAGGAAGGGCAAAAGGGAGGGGTGGGGAGGAGGAGGAGGAGGAAAGGAAAAAGGGGAGGATGGGATAGGGAAGCGGGGATTGGGGGGTAATTAGGTTTGGTCTGAAGAAGGAGACCGACAGGTCTAATTCCTCAGACCAAGAGCCTCTTCACCACGCCAAGGAGCCCCCCTTGAAGAGGAGCAGACTTTATAAAAACATCCTACTGTCTTGTACTATTATTATTACTAATTCTTTCAGTACTAGTACCACCATTACTAATACTACTGCTATTTTTACTACAAGCACTATTTTCCTCTCCCACCTCCCAACCTGCCTCCTGGTCTATTTACCTGCTCAGATGTGATGACAATTAACTAGGATGGTCGGAAGTGATATTTGTAATTGCCATGTTACAGAGTTTACCTTTTTTCCACCTTTCCATCCCCCTCCCCCTCAAATCATAGGTACCTGGGTGTCAGCAAAGATCTCTTATCCAAGGAATTGGGGCTACTCTATCCTTAGATTAAACCTGATTACCTATTTGCTCAGGTACTAAGTGACCATACAGATCTATATTTGTGAATTTCCACCTAATCATTTTCAAACATCTTCAGTATACATATGAATCACTTCAAGCACTAAAAGTTTTGCACAAGTTTATACTACATCCTTGTGCAAATGAGCACTTTCTTTCCATTGTCAGGTAGTCTAAACTTGTATAGTAGTGCTCTTCAGACTTTGTAATACACAAAGCTTTTGAAAGAATATTGCTGCTTACATAAAGGGGTTTGTAATATACATTAAAATGAAAGCTAAGAAATGAATTACAGACTTTAACACAATTTTTTTTTTTGTCAACCTCTCCAAGTTTCATAATAAAAAATGTATATCCTTCAATATCTTTTTATAATGTACATTTTTTTCCCTTGACAAATCAGACTGATGGATCAGTGTTTGCACCACTTCAATCTTGACCATTAATTTGGGTCACCCCATCTTAGTGTGAAATGGTGTTAAAATAATGTCAAGTAATTTATTCAGTAGTTTGCCCTTCACATAATGGGAACAAAGAAAATAGTAGATTATGATGTAATGAGATTAAATTTTGTAAACAAACTTTTATAGTGGAATGTACACATCTATTTCTCTCAAAGAAATACTGTATAAAGTAGGGAAATGCTGAGTAAAATGACAAATTGTAGTGGTAGGCAACAGGTAAAAATTTTTTCTCCAAAACTGGAATATTAAACCATTTTTTATAACCTAGATATCACGAGAAATAAAAGTATATGGTCATTAGCATTCAACATGCATGGCAGAAGGGTATTGATGCCATAACAGAAGTATGAGGGGGAAAGTACAAGGTGAAATGGGGCAGCCAGTGTGGCAAGTTTTTTTTTTTACTAAGCAGTCAGAATTGACATTAAATGGCATGATAGAAGAATGTCAAGGAATTGAAGATGAGCATACGTAAAGTCACATGCTCATCAGAGATGGGGCCAAATGCAGTTTTATTTATGCTGTATGTTTTTTTAATCTGTACTGTTTAATTTAATTTGCTTATTTAAATGAAAGGGGGAGGGGGGAACTATACTCAAACATTTGAGCCAAGGAAAGGAAGGATAACTCTCAATTCTTTGCAACAAGAGTCCTTCATGGGCATCAAGGCACCCCTTGAAGATTTGACGCTTTTGAATCAAATACAATTCATATATAGTATACTGAGGGGAAAGTACTAAACCCATAGGGGTCATAGAGTCTGGGAATGGAAGGCAATCAATTTTGATCCAAGGAATGGGAGACCATGTCCCATTCCTTGGATCAAGAGCCCACCAACACCAACAAACCTTTCCTGAGTACAATATTAATGTCTTTGCTTATCCAAGATCTGGTTCTCTTTAAAGTAATTCACTTTTTTAACACACCTACAGTCTCCTACCAAGGTAGGGTACCATTGGTGTCAGCCATAGATGGGCTGACATTAAAGCTAAACTTCCCCTCCAAACTGCAATGTCCCTACTTGTTCAGCCTGCAGGCACTTGCCACCTGCAGCTAACTGGTTTCCCTGAATCTCTTCATGTTACCTAGCTCACACTCCAGCACGTCAAGTCAGAAAACCCATTTGCGTCCATTTGCTTCTATTAACACTTGCACATGCCTGTTGGATATCCAAGTCATCCTATTTTGCTCCATCCTATGTAAATGTCCAAACCACCTTAATAACCCCTCCTCAGCCCTTCGAACAATTTTTAGTACCCAGCTTCCTAATGTCCAGCTTAAAAATACCTAATACATATTTAAGTTGGCAAAATGTCTTAAAAAGAGTGAACTAGTATCAAGCCTGTCAACCATGACTATAGTTCATTTGTGATCCAATGATCTAAATCAGAAGCTATCAGGTCTCCCATGAAAGCAGGTATCTAGACCTATGTATGTTTTAGACCCAAAGACCCTGGAGATGATCTTATTTTGCAGTTAAATGTCTCCAAATGCTAAAGTTAGATCTCTGTAAAGCTAAATAGACAAAGCAAATCTTTGGAATATTTACTACAAAATTGCCTTTAAAGGGTGTTCTTATAATGAAAGGCTTTGGATCAAAGGAATCTGAGCTACTCTCCCTTTCCTATAATCAAGTCTATTTACAGTACCTCCCATTCCCAGGCACTTATGACCCCTACAGGTTTAGTGCTTTTATCTTTAATATAATTTACTGGATTATTATTATTATAATCAAAAAGAAGTACTAAACCATAATTTACTGGAAAATATTTCCTCTACATACCTAGCCTAACCTCAGGCATACTGAATAAAAATACTTAACAATTTTCAATTATTTACCACATTATCTTAAATCACTTCTCTGGCAGTCACAGATCAAGCCTCACACTGAGAAGGAAATTACATGGCTAAGAATAAAGACAAACAGAAAAGCAGGGTATGCTGCATGTAAAACGTTTAAAATTTATCAGTCAGGTACATCTTGCTAGTAGTACAGTGGACCCCCGCATAACGATTACCTCCGAATGCGACCAATTATGTAAGTGTATTTATGTAAGTGCGTTTGTAAGTGTATGTTTCGGGGTCTGAAATGGACTAATCTACTTCACAATATTTCTTATGGGAACAAATTCGGTCAGTACTGGCACCTGAACATACTTCTGGAGTGAAAAAATATCGTTAACCGGGGGTCCACTGTATATGAAGAAATAAACAGCAGTCCTGCCAATTCAAAACTAGTAGTACATGTTCCTTCATGGATGGTTTGCAACAAGCCAGAACACTCCCATCCATTATGACCCCATTTTCAGTACAATGACTGCAGAAAACAGCTTCTCTTATGGATACAGAGTACTGATATCACCCATCCCAAATCTTCTATAGTCATGCCTTCCTCCCCTACCCCCTTCCCAACAATATTGATAAACAGGCTGTTGGATAATATTGACAGGGCATAGTAAATAGCTGTGCAATATTTTTTTTCCTAGTGAAATTGGATAATTTTTTGTATCTGGAATCATAAAAAATGTAGCAATTTACTTTGGGAACATTTTCTGCACAAAATCCTATTATGTAATGTCTACCTCCATTTGTGCAAATAAGATGCAATTTATATTTGTATGGCAGCTGTAGATATTGATAAATGTACCTAAAATATATTTTCATGAGAATTGATTCTTCCCCAAAATCAATAATCAATGGGTAACTAGTGTTAATAACTATACGTATATATAAAGAACCAAGAGAAGCTAAAACTACATACCCTCTACTGCATATTGTAGTATTCTTACCCTTCTTTATTTTAATACTGACCACATTACGTTTTCTTGACGACTTGGCTGGAGACTTAACTGCACTATGAAGGGCTAAGAAGCATGCAATCTTCATGAATAAGGCTGCTCAGCAACATCAACCGATAGAGCCTGAAACTTTATTGTAACGGCTAAATCATCAATTGTTACATTTAATTCAATGTACTCTCTTTCCTTGGGTCTACCTTCTGCCATTCCTTTGAGTGCATTCATAAAATCTAATGTTAACATCAAGGTTAACTTCTGGATAAGAGAGAAACCTATAGTGTTTAAGTATTGTGTTCACATAAAGCTGTCTATGGGTCATTCAGTATGTACTGCAGTACTGTCATAATTAAAATGTAATAGTGCATATCACTTAATTTTAAAAGTACAAACCATTGCAAACAATTTAATGTTTCAGAACAGGAATATGTTCACTTAATGACTTGGTAAATCATGATGACACTATTGTAAACACCTCACTGCACAGATGGCTTGAACCCACAGTAAGTCAGTGACAAAACTAGCAGACTACTACGGCATTCACTGAACCATACCAGTGTGATGAGACTGATGCAACTAGGTAGTGAATAACACTATACACCATAGGAAAATTAGTATGGGTTCAACTGATTGCAATGCAAGTTTAATTTTTACAGGTGAATCTCACACCAGCATGGCTGTAGCATGCTCTAGCTCAAATCCCATCAAAGCCATTATGAATGATTTAGTAGTGACACAATTGTAAACAACTCCTTGAACAGGGGGCTAAAGCCCTCCTTGCAGAGTTTGCAAGCCCATAATTATGATTTATCAAATCACTAACGATTCTGATGGGACAAGTTAAAGCATGCTAACCTTCCTATGGTGTACAGGAGGGCACCGCTTATATGGCAGGTTAAGTTCTAGGCTACCACCGTAAAACAGAAATAGCCATAAAGCAAATCTTTTTTTTTTTTTTTTTTTTTTTTTTTTACTTTTAATTAAATGCCTCTTAACATGTTTACACTATCATAGATTAAGTTAGCAATAGAACTAGGCATGAAAAACAAAGTAAAATGCACATCCAGCACACTCAATACTTACATTAAAATATTTGTACAGTGGTCCCTCGCTTTTCGTAGTTCTCGGGAATCATAGATTTCGGAAATCATAGGGATATTTTCGTATAAACATGGGCTCGCTAATCATAGGTTGATTCGCGAATAGTAGTTCGTCCGGGACGCGTACGCACAGTGTGAGCCGGAGCAGCCTCCCTACCCAGCCAGTCTGGCATTGTTTACCAATGAGTGAAGGTCCCCTCATGTGCTCCTACGAAATATTTCATAATATTCCACTCATTTTAGTGCTTGCAAGTACGTACTATATAAGCTACCATGGCTCCAAAGAAAGCTCCTAGTGCCAAGCCTGTAGTAAAGGTGAGAAATACGATTGAATTTAAGAAAAATATCATTGAACAATATGAAGTGGCACAAGTGTGGCCGAACTGGCCAGGATGTATAAGAAACCCTACACAACCATATGTTCCATAGTGACCAAGAAAAAGGAAATCAAGGATGCTGTTGTTGCAAAGGGGGTAACTATGCTGACAAAAATGAGGTCACCAGTACTCGAAGAGGTTGAGAAGTTATTATTGGTGTGGATAAATGAGAAACAATTAGCAGGAGATACTCTTATGACTTTGATTATTTGTGAAAAGGCTAGGCAGTTGCACAACGATCTGGTAAAGAAATTGCCTGCAAATAGTGATGTGAGTGAATTTAAGGCCAGCAAAGGTTGGTTTGAGAGATTTAAGAACCATACTGGCATACACAGTGTGGTAAGGAATGGTGAGGCTGCCGGCTCGGACCACAAGGCGGCTGAAAAATATGTGCGTGAATTCAAGGAGTACATAGAGGCTGAAGGACTGAAACCTGAACAAGTGTTCAATTGTGACAAAACAGGCCTCTTTTGGAAGAAAATGCCAAAGAGGACCTTCATTACACAGGAGGAAAAGGCAATGCCAGGACACAAGCCTATGAAAGACAGGCTGACGCTCATGTTCTGTGCTAATGCTAGTGGGGATTTCAAAGTGAAGCCATTACTAGTGTACCATTCTGAAAATCCCAATGTGTTCAGGAAAAACAATGTTATGAAGAGTAAATTGTGTGTGTTTTGGAAATCTAATAGTAAGGCAAGGGTCACAAGGGAAATTTTCGTTCAGTGGTTCAATGAAGTGTTTGGCCCTAGTGCGAAGAATTACCTCCTGGAAAAGAACTTGGATCTCAAGTGCCTGCTAGTAATGGACAATGCGCCTGCTCATCCTCCAAACTTGGATGACCTAATTTTCGAGGAGTTTGGGTTCATCACAGTAAAGTTCTTGCCCCCGAATACCACTCCTCTCCTCCAGCCCATGGACCAGCAGGTCATTGCAAACTTTAAAAAACTCTACACCAAAGCAATGTTTCACAGGTGCTTGACTGTGACCACACGCACTCACTTGACCCTAAGGGAATTTTGGAGAGAACACTTCAGCATCCTCCACTGCATAACCTTTATAGGTATGGCTTGGGAGGGAGTGACTACCAGGACTTTGAACTCTGCTTGGAGAAAATTGTGGCCAGATTGTGTCGACAAGAGGGATTTTGAAGGGTTTGGGACCGACCCTGATGAGCCTATGTCTGCTGTTAAATCAATTGTGGCACTGGGGGGTTCCATGGGGTTGGATGAGAGTTTGGAGGATGTGGAAGAGTTGGTGGAAGACCACAACGAAGAGCTCACCACTGAGGAGCTGCAAGAGCTTCAGCAGGAACAGCAACAGATTGCAGCTCAGAATCTTGCTGCAGAGGAGGAGGAAGAGTGATGGAAGAAGGTGCCTTCTTCAGAAATTAGAGATTTTTTTGCTATGTGGGGTAAGATGGAAAGCTTTATGGAGAAACATCACCCTGACAAGGTTGTTGCAAGCCATGTTGGCAACATGTACAGTGACAAAGTCTTGGGCCATTTTAGGGAAGTGTTAAAGAGACGCCAGAAACAGAGCTCTCTCCACAGTTATTTTGCAAGACAGGACTCCAGTGACTCTCAAGGTGGTCCTAGTGGCATTAAGAAACAAAGAAGCAACCCCAGAAAAGCAATTGGTACCCGAGGTGTTGCTGGAAGGGGATTTCCCTTCCAAACTGTAAACAATCCAATCTCTCTCCTCCTCCAGTCTCCCATACACTAAGAAGAATCTCCAATATTATATATATATAATCAAAAAAGAAGCGCTAAGCCACAAGGACTATACAGCGCTGCAGAATCTCCAATAAAGGTAAGTGTTATGTTGTTAATGTTTCATTCATCATTTCCCATTGTATTGTTTATGTACTACATGTATATTTCATGTAAAAAATTTTTTTGTTTTTATACTTCCGGGTGTCAGGAACGGATTAATTGTATTTACATTATTTCTTATGGGGAAAGTTGATTCGCAAATCGTAGATTTCGATAATAGTAGCAACTCCAGGAACGGATTAACTACGAAAAACAAGGGACCACTGTAGTCTTAATGTAGGGCGAGAGGCTAGAGGCTAGTGGCCCGATGGCTAAAGCTCCCGCTTCACACACGGAGGGCCCGGGTTCGATTCCCGGCGGGTGGAAACATTTCAACACGTTTCCTTACACCTGTTGTCCTGTTCACCTAGCAGCAAATAGGTACCTGGGTGTTAGTCGACTGGTGTGGGTCGCATCCTGGGGGACAAGATTAAGGACCCCAATGGAAATAAGTTACAATCCTCGATGACACACTGACTTTCTTGGGTTATCCTGGGTGGCTAACCCTCCGGGGTCAAAAATCCGAACGAAATCTTATCTTATCTAGTACTATATGACTCACTAAATCATAATGACAAGATTGCAAACAAACCATACCACGGGTGGGGATAGAACCTGCAATCAGTCATAAAACTCCAGTGGCTAGTGCATCAGTCTGGAGTTTTACGACTCTCTGATTGCGGTTTCTATCCCCACCCGTGGTATGGTTTTTTTTTTTAGTAGTACAGTTGTACCTCAAGTTACAAACAGCTCACAACTTGAACAATTATTCCTTATGGAAACGAATTAAGTTTGTAACTCAAGGTACCACTGTATTTATTGTAGAAAGTCAGGTATAGTAGCCCATCCAGCTACCACACCTCACAATTATGTTTTCATATGCCCTAGTTTGTATGTAAAACTATAGTTATTGTCTATAAAATGTATTTTTTTTAATATTTCCCATAAGAAATAATGTAAATCAAATTAATCCATTCCAGACACCCAAAAATATTAACAAAAAATACATTTTATAGACAATAACTATAGATATTGGCAGTTTGGAGGGATATGTTGTGTATCTTTATATGTATATGCTTCTAAACTGTTGTATTCTGAGCACCTCTGCAAAAGCAGTGATAATGTGTGCATGTGGTGAAAGTGTTGAATGATGATGAAAGTATTTTCTTTTTGGGGATTTTCTTTCTTTTTTTGGGGTCACCCTGCCTCGGTGGGAGACGGCCGACTTGTTGAAAAAAAAAAAAAAAAAAAAACTATAGTTTTACATACAAACTAGGGCATACAAAAACTGAGGTTCCACTGTATTTTGTGTGTAGTGTATTTATTATTGAAAAAAAAAAAAAAAAAAAAAAAAAAAGTCGCAGATGGATTAATGAAATGTCCGTAACAACATTTAAAGCTCCCCAGAGCCATTATTATTATTACTATGCTTATAGCCATCAACATACTTTGTTCACTGTGTTTAATCTTTTCTAACTTGGCATTTAAAGTAAGAGGCTTACAACTCCTTTTTATCACTATTATCGTCAACAAAATAACTACACACACGCAGAGAATGTAAACAAACCGAGGGCGATCAGACGAATGCGTATCAAGACCTGTCCACTTTATTCATACACATTCATTTTGAATTATGCAATGCTTTACCTGGAGTTTACCTGGAGAGAGTTCCGGGGGTCAACGCCCCCGCGGCCCGGTCTGTGACCAGGCCTCCTGGTGGATCAGCCTGATCAACCAACCTTGTGAAGGTTTTTCCTCAATACAAACGGCTTACATTGTGTACAAGTTGTCTTCATGTTAGTACAGTAGAATAAATAGCAGCAACACTCCCATGCTCGTGCAACACGCCATTTTTAGAGCAAATGACGCTACAAGTGAAGACATACAAAAGGAATATTTTTCTACAGCCCCCCCCCCCCCCCGGTAATACTGTACTAGACAGCTTCTTTGGTGTCGGACTAAAGAAAACAGAATTCTTTCTGTCACTCCTACAAGCAACCCAGCTACCACATGTCATATTTATGCCAGTTTGGTGATATGCATATTTATATATGTAGTATATTTCTTGTATAATTTTGAAGATGCAATAAGCATATAATTGCTCTGGGGCACTTTTAATTTTGTATATTACACTAATATGGATATTTTCAATAATCCATCTGATATTCATAGATGGATTAATGAAAATATCCATATTAACATAATATACAACATTACAAGTGCCCCAGAGCGATTATTATGTACTTATGACATTTTTAACATTAGTGAGAGAGACTTAGTGATTTTAATGTGTACCTGCACACCAGCACTGTGTGCAAGTTTATTAGGTACAGGTACACAAGTATAATTATCAAAGTACTGTGACACCTCTGCTGTTGAAACGCACTTGTCGAACAAATTGGTTTTCGAACAAGGAATTGGAGAAAAAAAAAAAAGTCCTGGTTTTCATACATGCTTTTGGTTGTTGACCAACAATGTTTGGATCATGTGATCACCAGGCAGAGTCAACAACGTGATTCTCAGTCAGTATAGCCACTAACTTGCTTGCTGTCAACTTCTCTTGAGCTTTTGTGTGCATCTTTTGAACTTTTTTTTTGTTTTGCAGTCTTGGTGCAGTTTTTTTTATTGCAGACAAGCCATCATTTTTGTCTGGGGTACACAGAAAAAAATGCGGAAAATTTTGAAAAAATGAGTCAAGTTTACAGAAAAATAATTAAATCTGGCAACATTTTGGTGTTAAGTCTCACGTTTATATGATGTTTTTACAACGAATTATAGTTATTTCAATATTTCTTGTGATGATGAATGCATGTAATGCGTCTGAACGTGAAGTGATATTTCAGATTTTTTAAAATTATTTTTTGTATTATGACTTACAATATACAGTGGTACCTCGGGATACAAACTTATTTCGTTCCAGAAGGCTGTTCGAGTGCTGATACTGAACGAATCTGTTCCCATAAGGAATAATGTAAATTAGATTAATCAGTTTCAGGACCCCCAAAATACACTTACAAAAGCACTTAGATAAATACACTTACATAATTATTCACGTTTTGAGCTGTTCGTATCCCGAGGTACCTCTGTATGCATTAAATTCATCATTTTGCATTGTTACAAGGTGAAAGGAACTATAAGAGAGAGGGTGAGAGAGTATCAGAGCATCTCGGTAATTGTCGAGTGGTCATGACTGATGGTTGAGTGCTTCACGGCACTATAATATGTTGCATAATTCAACAATTACTGACAATAAATTTTGTCTACCTATCACATTTATTCCAAAATGGTATTAGACATAAGAAAAATAAGAAAGAAGCAAAACACACACACCCAAATTCATAATTGGCATTATATGGAGCTCTGGCGACTGCAGAACCTGGATCTTGCCTCGGGCAAGACAATGATGGAGTGAATGATGAAAGTTTTTCTGGGCCACCCTGCATTGGTGGGAAACTGCCATGTGTTAATAAAAAAAAAATTACGAAATCGGAAGATAAAAGAACACGAGGACCCAGAATATGTTGTCCCTTAAAACAAATGTCACTTGACAGGTTTTTAACGAGACAAAGAACCAGTGAGCCAGAACAAGGTGCAAGTAGTGAAGAAAGACAGAAGAGAAAATGCCAGGAGAGTTGCTCAACTCTCCTTCCAAGCAATAATATATCCTCTCCTGCTTCCAGTATGCCATTAGCTCTCCTCTGACAGGTAAGAGGCAGTTAAATTTATTGTACAGTATTTCAGTTAGTTTCTTTTAGTATTAATTTTTAGTTTTATGCAGTATTTAGTACATTTTTAATAAATTATCATTTGGGGTCTGGAACGGATTAATTCTATTTACTCACGTTATTCTTTATGGGAAAAATTGCTTTGGTTGTGAAACAGACATCTGGAACGAATTAAGTTTGACATACAAAATATGCAGTAACTTTAAAACAGGAAATTTTGCAATGTTTCCAGACTTGAGATATGGAGCTCATGGAGGATGTAAACAGTGTGGCATGGATGCTGTAATAGCTAATTAGGGAGCCGTATAAAAAAAATTTTGGTCATAATTTGAAATGTCCATATTAGCAAAGTGCCATAAGTGGAACTTGCCTGTATAGAAATGTACTTCATTGGATGAATCTTATTAGGCTCACATGCAGTGACTAGTTTTCTGACTGGCTTGCCATGGATTCAATCCACCATGAAGCGAAATGCTCACTCAATCCCTCTGAACACCTGTAGTATTTGAACATCAACTAAAGGTTTGGGAGTGATTTAGCAATGTGCCTACACCTTAAGTTATGCAATTGTTGGTTAAACTCAACAAAGGTAGAAGAGAACTTTTTATAAAACATATGGCCTATAACAAGCTAAGCAAGTACAAAATGAGCAACATACATATTTATGCAAGTGCAAGTGAAGCACAAGAAGGCAGAAACAAGCAAGGAATAGACAGGGAACATTGCAGAAGGCCAGATGTGCCTTGTGCACACATGTAAATCACCAGTGAACTATTTCTGGTACAAGTGCAGAATACAAGCAATACCTGTCGTATACATGTGTACAAGACTACACTCCTAGTAAGACTCCAGGCTAGTAATCAAGGATAGAGGCAAAACACACATTAGATACCTGGAATCTCCCCTAATCTGCACATAAAATACAATTCAGCAAAATCCGAGCTTTCAACTTAGCAAAAACCTTATCCCTACGCTTATTATAAAAAACTTTCCAATTTATAGTACACAAGACAGTGCTCCCTGATCCCACACTGCCACACCCTAAGCTCTTTCCCTACTACTCACATCTAACTGCGTGCATGTACATATACATACATACATGTGCATTTTGTATTGATTTGAGCTACATGGACTAATTTGCTTTTTAGCAAAAAGTGAATATATCAGCAGTATGCTGCTACCCTTTTCTACATACAGAAGGGCCTTGCATATTCGTTGTTTGGTCCTTTTACTGCTCTGCCATGTTTTCGCACAACGGTTGCATATCGGAAGAATGACTGGTGCTGTATTTTAAGATACTGTATGTACTGTGTAGTTACTTTATCATTTTTTATGCCTAGCTGTATTGAGCACTTAATATATGATCGCATAGAACACGCTATCAGACATTTTAAACACATTTGATAATGAAAAACTGCTCTTTTTCCACCCGCTGGTGGTTTTCACTTATTGTGCAGGGTCAGGAACCTAAGAGCCATACAAAGAGGGCCCTCCTGTAATTAGTGGCAACAAAAGCTGGCCATTTCCTGTCACATCACACATGCAAACTGTCTCAATAAAAGTACTGTTTAGCATTCGTTCCCTTGTAGATTGAAACCAGCACATTTTTCTAAGAATAAGAAACAATGAAATTAATAACTTACCTTTTCATGGAGTGTTAAAATTGGCAAAAATGCAGTTTCTATTAGTCTTTTTAGTAGTTTCTTTTTGTCTTTTAAGACAATGTTCAAAGTAATCTTTTATTACAATTGTGTGATTCTTCTCTATACATGGAATTCATATTGTCTGGCTTAATCAGATTATCCTGGGTTAAAAATGTACATATGCTGTAATGCATTTTTTGTGCCCATTATGTGTGCCCCAAGACCAGTGTAATAAAGACGTTATGCACGTATGCTTAAATGAAAAAAAAAAGCCCACTTTTACATAGATGCAGTGGTACCTATGTAAACAAGTGGGCTGCCAAGTCGTTATTATTCATGATGCATTGCATGGACCCACCCAGCCCTACATTTTTTGTTTTAGGTATGACACTCACGACTGAGCCAAGGCATATATGGCAACTGGCAACAAATTTGAGGCTAAGTCACGTTTACCCATCACATCAGCACACACTACCAAATTAGTGCTTTATATCTCTACAATAGCAACTAACCTGGATCATCTTAACTTATTTTTTGCTAGCACTAAATCCCACACATTTTTTTTCTTAATGCAAAGGAAATTTCAAATACACATATTGAAGAGGAAATTTGAAGGATTTCTGGGTAACCCAGCTACAAAACTATACATACTTGCACTTGACTTGAACAGCAAGCCTAAAAACAGCCTCACTGAACATATAATCAAGCGTTAGGCCCAGCCTGGAGCTGGGCAAGTATTCCCAGAACCATCTATTAGTATATTATGGCCTTACAAATCAGATAAAAAATAAACTCTTAGGAAAGCAACTAAACAAATTTTTTGGTATATCGTACCCATTACAAAATTAAAAGTTTAACAAGTGTTCTGGGTCACAAAACATTCAGTTCTGCAAATAAGTACAGCAAACCTTTGATTTAATAAACTAATGAGGGCATGGGTGGCCAGTAATGGAGACTATGGTATCAAGATTTTTCCACAATTGTAGTTATTACTCTCATAAACTATCTTTATCCACCATTTGAATAAACCACATTTCCTGTTTTAAATTAATGTCCACTGAATTCAAGGTTTACTGTAGTTTGCAATTCTGCTAAGTTTATAACCATCAGGATCCACCAGTCTTCACTCTCAGCAATACACATTGTAAGATATCTTACAATGCTTATCCTGAGTGACAGTCCAGTTTAGGGCCACAAAATAAAAAAGACAAAGGTAGGTTCTCAACCGTTTAGGAAGGCGATATCCATCAAAATATTACTTTTAAAATCCAACCATACTTGGAAGGGAAGAATTTTTATTTGCAAATCTTCAAGGTAATCAAAGCTGCATTGTGCAAGTTGGCTTTTTTAATTTTCATCATAAGCACTAAACCCATAGGGGTCATACAGCCATGGAAGTTGGAACCTCATTTGTCACTAACAAAATTCTTTCATGCCATAGCAAGGCACAAGGATCAAGTACTAATTACAATACTGACATGCAAATTTGCACAACCAAAGCATTGAATGACATACAGCACATATCTAAGAAGGCAAGGTATATTAGTATCTTCCAGTTTATGTCTAGCATTTACATACCAAATCATAGTTCTGATTTTAAAGTTATTAAATACACAATGTGCATCATTTAAATTTATCAGAGTGAAGTGAATGTGTGACTGCTCTACATCCAACACAGTGCCTGATCTTGTGCATTGTGTGATTAACTTGAACAATTTCAATTGTGCAGTACAGGAGATAATCAGAAGTTTCAACAGTAACCTACCTAGATTATTAGTATTCAGGGTTTCTAGCAGTTTCCATTGATGTATGGAACTGTTTTGAGCAGCATATACCTTTCAAGCACAATTTTATGCTGTAATTTTAAGTTATTTATGCTATTTTCAGTGCAGTATATACAGTTAACACAATACATTAACAGTCCAGTAGGTGGAATCACTGAAACCTTGCCCCCTCAGCTACTGCGTGTAATACCCTGAATGCTTACATTAAGGGAACTGGAATGACATTGGCAAAATAAAACTGCCATGTAAATTAAAGATTTTATTATTAAATAAGCCCGAGCAAGAAGGGTATCAACACTAGTCCCACAATTGGTGAACAGCACTGGGTAGGATTTACATGTACAGTAAACTGTAGGTGAGCTAAGCCACATACGTGCCATTTCACATCACCTCGTGGAACTAGGAAGTTCCCTTCCCTCCTTTGTCTAGTGTTCATAATCTTACTCATAGATCCAGGTCTCATTGGACTGTGTCCAGCTAACAAGTTCCTCTGGTTTGAACCACAGAGCAACCTCCTTGTTTGCAGATTCAACAGAGTCCGAGCCATGGATGATGTTCCTGTAAAAATAAAAGTTCCAGAATAAGAACATTTCAGTTTCCTTGAAGTAGGTTACAAGTGTGCAAAACTATTGGTAGATGTATCTAGTTTTATATCTGCATAAGTTACTAATGCTAGGTAGTAGGCTGGTAAACAGCAACTGCCCAGGAAGGTACTACAATCCTGCCAAGTGAGTAAAACAAAAGCCTGTAATTGTTTTACAAGATGATAGGATTGCTGGTGTCTTTTGTCTGTCTCAAACATGCAAGATTTCAGGTACGTCTTGCTACTTCTACTTACACTTAGGTCACACTACACATGTACAAGCATATATATACACACACCCCTCTGGGGTTTCTTTATAGTTCTTGTTTATTTCCTCTTATCTCCATGGGGAAGTGGAACAGAATTCTTCCTCCGTAAGCCATGAGTGTTCCAAGAGGCAACTAAAATGCCGGGAGCAAGGGGCTAGTAACCCCTTCTGTATAAATCACTAAATTTAAAAAGAGAAACTTTCGTTTTTCTTTTTGGGCCACCCTGCCTTGGAGGGATACGGCCAGTTTGTTGAAATAAAGAAGTTACTAATACCAGCTGACACTTATAATGAACACAAAGAGGCTGAATAATAGTTTCACCACAGATATACAGAAGAGTAACAAATAAAGCCTATAAAAGATTAATTGAACTGTTGCCTCAGACTGTTCAGAAAACTGTCCTCTTAGCATGATAACATTTCTTGAATTTCACATCAGATTATTAAAGCAGCAATGTAAGAATTCAACACACCATCTTCCAAAAATTCACTGTAAGCAAGAGATAATGGTGCCAGTGTTGTCAAAGGAATGGAAGGGACAGGATACAACAGTTTGTCAGGCATTCTACATATATTTTAACCAGTTATCCATGACTATTTTGGAGTAAAACAACATTGTTAACTGTAGCCAAATAGTGAGCCACTTTCTTTTAGCCTGAAATAGACTAGAGGCAAGAACAAAATGAACAATCAAAGAAAAAGCTCATTCAGAATGTAACTACTCACTGGAATAGCACTTCTTATATGGCATCTGTGAAAAAAAAAAAATGCAATTTAACGCTTAAATAACACGTCTTCCATCTGATGGAAATGAACGAAATTTGTGCAAGTGTTTCTTCTTTTCCGGGTCACCCTGCCTTGGTGGGAAATGGCCAGTGTAAAAAAAAAAAAAAAAATTATTTCCACGTTTTCACATGTTGAAAATACTTCATAAAATAGCTGACTTATTATTATTATTATTATTATAATCAAAAAGAAGCGCTAAGCCACAAGGACTATACAGCGCTGCAGGGCAGGAAGGAAGCGAGGGCATCAGGTGGCAAAAGGAAGATGGATGAGTAATAGGTTACGGATGACAGCGGGGTAGTGGATGGTGAAAGGGTAAAGGGCAGCAAGAGACTGAACTAGAAAGGGTTGAGGGGAGTGCGAAAAGTATCATCAGAGTCTGTGGAGTAAATCAGTCGTTGTCAAGAAGTCAATGAGAGAGTCAGGATTAAAGGAGGGTCCATCAGCAAGAAGGGAAGGTAAAGAGAGAGTAGTAGAACGAAGACGACGTTGGAGGTAAATTCTGCGTGCTCGTTGATAGAGAGGGCAGTCTAACAGAATGTGGCTAATCGATACTGGAACTTGACACTGCTCAGAGAGGAACAGGGTGCCTCTCCATGAGATACCCATGAGTAAGACGAGTGTGGCCAATGCCAAGGTGGGAGAGAGTGGTCTCCCAACCTCAGCACTGATGACAAGAAGACGGCCAGTAACATATGCTCGGTTTAATAGAATGAAGTTTGTTACCGAGCAGAGTTGACCAACGTTGCTGCCAACGGGTGCGAAGGTGGGTAGCTATTGCGGCAAAATAGTCCAGAAATGGAACACCTCGATAGGAAATTGGAAGGTCATGTACTCCTGACCGCGCAACAGTGTCTGCCTGTTCATTGCCCTGTACGTCGACATGACCAGGGACCCAACAAAAAACAATATCTTTATGTTTGGTAGAGATAAGGCGTAGCCAAAGTTGGATACGGAGAACTAGAGGATGAGATGTATCAAATTTTCGTATAGCCTGTAGAGCACTAAGGGAGTCTGAGACTACTACAAATGATGACACAGGCACAGATGCGATACGAATAAGTGCTGCAAGAATGGCATACAGTTCAGCAGTAAAAATGCTAGCTGAAGATAGTAAATGCCCGCACGACGCTGTCCGGAAACACTGCTGCGAATCCGACGCCGTCTGAAGACTTAGAGCCATCTGTGTACACAGCGGTGGCATGAGAATGGGAGTGGAAGTGATCAAGAAAAAGAGCGGGAAGCCACCGTAGGCAGTTGAGCTTTCGAGCAAGGGAGTGAGAAAGAACAGACCCGAACAGCTGGAACTTCCCAGGGGGTTAGGGAAAAGTGAGATGCTACATGAACATAGAAAGGTGGTAACTGAAGTGAAGACAAGAGTGAATGTAGGCGAAGAGAAAAGGGACGGAGCAAACAGGGGCAGCGAACGAATGAAGAATGTCTACTAATATCGGTGACCATTCTATAAATGGAAGGATTGTGTAGATCGTGAGAGTGTACATAGTAGCGAAGGCAATGGGCATCACGGCGATCAGACAAGGATGGAACATTCGCTTCTGTATAGAGGCTCAACAGGGGAAGAGCGAAAAGCACCAAGGCACAAACGTAATCCTTGGTGATGGATAGAGTTAAGGCTAGAGAGAGTAGCAGGAGAGGCCGCGGAATATATCTGGTCACCATAATCGAGTTTCGATAAAACGAGGGCCGAATGTAGGCGAAGCAGAGTTCGGCGATCAGCTCCCCAGGAAATATGAGCAAGGGTTTTAAGAAGGTTTAGCCGGCTGTGACAAGTTGCCTTCAGAGAGGTAATGTGAGGTTTCCAGGATAACCTACAGTCAAAGAGAAGGCCTAGAAACCTGACTATCACATTCGAGGATACGAGAGCCAGAGAGATACAAAGGATGATCGGAGATAACAGAGCGTCTAGTGAAAGTAATTTGGTGAGTTTTGGTACTTGAAAATTTAAACCCATGCGTGGTGGCCCAAGTGGAAACACGGTCGACCGCATGCTGGAGAGAAACTGCAATAAGATGACAGTCAGCGCCTGCACAAGCAATAGCGAAGTCATCAACAGAGTGATGACAAAATATTGGGTGGAAGACTAGAGGCCAAATCATTTATAGCAAGGAGAAAAAGTGTTGTGCTTAGAACACATCCCTGGGGACAACCTTCAGCTTGGACAAGTCCGGGGAAGACATTATTATCAAACCGGAAATGCCTGTCAGTTAAAAAGTTCTTAAGGAAGGATGGTAGATTCCTGGGAAAGGCCTAAGGAAATGGGCCCTGGGCAAAATATTATACCTCCAAGTTGTGTCATATGCCTTCTAAGGTCAAAAAATATGGCAATAACTGAGTGGTTATTGCAAAGGCATTACGAACATACGTATCCAAGCGCAGTAAGGGGTCTATGGTAGAACGCCCTAACGAAAGCCATATTGACAAGGAGAGACTTTGTGTGTCTCTAAATACCACATTAAACCATTTACAGACGTTCCTTTATTTGCAAACTGCACTGGTAAGGAGCAATGGAGATAGTGGGGGGTTCATGCCCCGTAGTCCCGGTTTGCGGAAAAGGGAGAACAATGGCAATTTTTCCAAAGCTGTGGAAGAACTCCTTGTGCCAAATAAGATTGAAAGGGTAAAGGACTAAAAGGGCTGCCCGATGTAAATTTGTACATCGAATATGAATGTCGTCGGGCCCAGCTGCCGATGATGGGAAAAAGCTGAGAGGTTGCCTCCAGTTCTTGAAGTGAAAAGGCACATTATACTGTTTTCTCTAGAGAAGAAAAGTCCCAAGGGTCTAACTCTCTGGCAGATTTTTGGGGAAAAGGGAAAGGGGGGCATAGATGGAGCCCTGGGAAATACGGACCGATGTTGCCAATTTAAATGGCAACTCAGTGGGTTTGCTAATCAACACCGGCAACCCGAGAAACAGGAGCCGGGTCAGGAGATATTTACCACTCAATTTTCCTCATTTTTTCCAGACTGCACTCATAGAAGAAGCAGAGGTGATGGTGGAAACATTCTCGCCACAGTGCGTTTAGCTTCCGGATGACACGGCGAGCGATCGCACGCTTCTGTTTAAAATAAAGGGAAGTCCTCTGGGTTCTATTGTACCGGTACCTGCCCCATGCAGCCGTTTAAAACGTACTGCACGAGCACAAGCAGGAGACCACCAAGGCATGCATTCTGAGAATGCCTCCCCAAATTTTGGGGGTATAGAATGAGAAGCTGCGGTAAAACTGAGGCGAGAAGATTGTAAGCTCATCAATGGAGGAGAAAAGGAACCCCTTAAAAACGTAGGTGTGAGAAAAGGGTTCCAATTTGCCCGATCAAATTGCCAGCGGGGGTCAAAAGGTGGGAAATAGGGAAGTAAGAATGATGGGAAATACCCTGTCATGTAAGTCCGGGAGAACAGCCCAAAGGTAGAAGTCAAATGCGGGAGGAAGAGCAAACTGAGAGACGATGAAAGAGAGTTGAGTCGAGGATCAAAATGGGTGGAGAAACCCGTATTTAAAACATGGAGGGGGTGGGGCAAAAAAAGCCTCAACTGAATTCCACGGGATCACATGAGACCCCCCCCCCAGAGGAAATGGGGGGATTAAAATCCCCCAAGTAACAGAAATCGGGTGGGTAAGAGAAACAAGGAAGGCAAATCGGAAAAGAAAATGCCAGAAAGGAGAGAGATATAAGAACAAGGGATACCACTTATTAAAGTGGATACGGGCTGCTGTTAATGCAGGGGAAGGGATGGAAAAAAAGTTGGACGGGGAAAAACATGCGGAGAAAAAGGGCAAATTTTCATTAAAGGGCCCATCAGGGGAAAAAGGGTCCGAAAATACAATAAATTATAGCCTGAGATGTTGGAAAAACAGCCGAGTGTAATTTTGGTTCCTTTTTAAGCAAACCAACAGGGGAAAA